CATGGCTCGCGGCTTCGCTCCACCGAGGTAGCGATCGACTCTCAGTGCCACGCCACCCCCGTATCCCCTCCGCAGCCTTTAAAAAGGCTCTTTGCGAATCAGGGGGGGCGCTTAAGGCGCCCGCCGAGTCTTCAGTCCGCAGGCTCCGCGCCTGCGGTTTTTAAGGGTCCCCGCGTCGCCGGCGCGGCAAAGACCCATCCTCAGTGGAGCCGATTCCCTCCGGAGCTCGGAGGGAATCCGCCATTTCCAGATCGCGTCAACCCGGAAGTCCCCATACGGGCCAGTCTTGCCAGACTCTAGGGTTGTGCGCCCATCTCACTCAAGAGGCCGGGGGCCAGCGCTGTCCGGAGACACTTCCGGGTCACGTGGCCAGTGTGACAAGCTGCATCTGGCGAGCCAGAGCCGCACACGGAAACGCTGTTTACCTTCCCGCCAGAGCGGTCCCTATTTATCTACTTGCACCCGGGGGTGCTTTCGAACTGCTAGGTTGGCAGGCGCTGGGACCGAGCAACGGGAGCTCACCCCGCCGCGGGGATTCGAACCGCCGACCTTTCGATCGGCAAGCCCTAGGCCTGAGGCTTTTACCCACAGCGCCACCCGCGTCCCATGTAGTTGGATACAGCCCATTATTCCAGTATACATAATGTTCCAGATCATAGCCAATCATTGTAATTATCTCACGGTATGTCCTTCAAATTCTTGTTTTTCAAATATCCACAAAAGAACATAATGTTCAATGATTCTCAGGAAGTTTGGCTTCTTTTGCAGCCTGGTGCTCTCCAGATGTTTTGAACGACAAACTCCAGCCATCAATGAAAGTGCCACTTTGGCAGAGGCTGCCCTAAAAGAACATCTTTGCATGCCAGAGCTGTTTCACAATTATAGCAAGGAAACACCAGGAAGTAAGCAAGCTAATTAGGGATGGGCTGAGCAGCTAATTCCATCCCATCCCATTCTTGCTGGTCCTCAGTCATTCATCTGTTCCTCTCTGACCTTCTTGCATCCCACTCTGTCCTGTTAAAAGCATTTTAAACACATTTCGTGCCCCCTCTCCATTTTTTAATACAAAAGGATGGGGTGGCTTTGATTTATTTTATTTTTTGGGGAACTCCTCATAAAAAAGGTGTACAACATGTGCCTGAAATGGACATATTTCATAAATTTATTGTGTAAAAACTTGTTAGGGTTTTATTGTTGTTTAAAAAATAGTTTGCCTATATGTTGTGTTTACATGACCGTGATCAAAATAATTAATTAAGGGAAAAGACAATAGAAATTACAAATATGTGTGAACAAAAGGATTAGACAGCACGAGCAAAATGGAAAGGAAAAACCAAAAGAATTTTGTATTTTTATGTTGTGAACCACCCTGTGATCTTCACATGAAGGGTGGTATACAAAATTATTATTATTATTTAATCATCATCATCGTTAATAGTTTGTTTGACTATTTTTTGTGTTATTCTTTATGTATTCCTGAAACTTGGATCTCTGATGCGGACTACAGATCTACGTGCAGACTTCATCTCTTATCTCAGAGAGGGAAGGGGAAGCTTTTCATTTTCATTTATTACCTGCATTTAGTTTTGAAATGCATTGATCAAATAAAAATAAAAGAAAGGTATATAAAATAAACATGTGTATTTATATACACACTCATGTGATTTTTTGCACACATTACTTGGATGGAAACCTCATTGCAAAATTGTTGGGTTTGGGTCTGTGCAAATTAGGTAAGTTTCCCTTTAAATGCAAACTGGATTGAATTTCTCCCCCATCCTTTTTGCTTAGGTTGAAGCATTCTGGCGTAAAGTGCTACAACTGCTGAAGAATGTGGCAAGAAATCACCACAAAGCACCACATGAGGAGAGACAATTACAGCGTTCCATCCCAGACCAATATCTTGACCAAGATTTGCATGGCGCGGAAGCGTGTCATTCACTCTGTTGCAATGTTTCCTCCTACCAGGATTTCACTGCAACGCTGTGGAATTGGACTGTATGGAATTTGCTGCCATGCTGCCCCAGTTACGTAAAATGTGTTGAATTGCAGATGGCTAGAATGATCTGCATTGGGTCTGGCTCCCCCATCTGTTCCTTGCAAGCTGTGCAGGGATATTCTGAAAGAGTTTAAGAGGTGCATGAGGTGAGGTGATACAGTACCATCAGTGGAGGTTGGTAACCATCGCGAGCAGTAGGATGAAAGGCAGGGAGGTTGACAGTAGGTGGAGCCAGAGCTGAGGGCAGCTGGAGCCAAAGAATTATAGTTTTGTCCACATCCTCCTCCTCTTCGTTGAGTTCGACAAGGGGCAACACAAAGACTAAGGAGAAGAAGAGTTTGGATTTGATATCCCGCTTTATCACTACCCTAAGGAGTCTCAAAGTGGTTAACATTCTCCTTTCCCTTCCTCCCCCACAACAAACACTCTGTGAGGTGAGTGAGGCTGAGAGACTTCAGAGAAGTGTGACTAGCCCAAGGTCACCCAGCAGCTGCATGTGGAAGAGCGGAGACGTGAACCCGGTTCACCAGATTATGAGACTATCGCTCTTAACCACTACAGCACACTGGCTCCCAGGAGGAGGAATCTGATTGGTTACCCCCTGACTGGTTGTACTGAAGAAGGCAGGGCAGTTGAGAGGTGGCTACAGGCTGAGTGAGAGCTCTATTTCAGGTAATGTGTACAGTCGTTTCATTGGGTAAGATTTGCAGAGACACCACACACACCAAAATAATGTTTGAGGGTCTTATCAAGCTACTTTTGATTCTTCAGTTGTTGGAGCCTGCTGACAGGAATTGGCTTTGAGTTTTGCCTTGACAGCCTACAGTTGTGAAAGGCATTGAAATTTTGGTGTGTCGACATCAAGCGACTATTTACAACTTTCCGTAGGCCATGGGACTCTTTGTCATGCTTTGATGCAATGCAATAACCTGCTATGACTTTCAAGTGGGTTTTTAAAAAATGAGTTTCACTATCCATTATGTTGTAGATGAGGCAAAAAATATGGCTTAGATAACCCCAAACTTCCCCTAGGGCAACCCTCCTGTGCTATATATTCATTCGTCTCTAATATCTCAAGTTGACCCACTAAGACGGTGCCTTCATGTCTCATGCGGGTGTAGGGTATGCTGTGAAGGGATGCAAGGTCATCACCTTCCTGAAACTAAGCAGGTCTGGGTCTGGTCAGTGCCGGGATGGGCAACCATTCTCTCTCAACCAAGCCAACCTCACTGGATTGTTGTGAAAATAAAATGAAGAGGGATAGAAATGTGCATGCCACCTTAAGCTCCTTGAAGGAAAGGTGAGCTATACATGAAACTCACTTCATATCAAATCAGGGATGGGGAACCCATGGCCCTCCAGATATTACTGAATGGCAGCTCTTATCATCTCTGACCACTGAGCATGCTAGCTGGGGCTGATGGGAAGTGGAGTCCAACACCCTCTGGAAGAAAATTGGCTCCACGTCCATGTTTTACATCCCCATAAAGGCATTTAATAAGTGATCCCTGATAGGTTGGGATATGCCTGCTACTTTGGTTTTCATGATGAAAGAAAGGTGGGATATAAATGTGATGGAATAAATAAATGCATCAAGCTTCCATAAACACTGTGCATTAGCTCTATTGGCTGTCGCTGACAGGAGATGTAGTCCAGACAATTTAGAGGGCACGAGTTTAGGGCTCCGTTGATTTTCCGATATCATTCCAATAACAGCCTTATTATAACAATGCCAATTTTATCCAATTAATACAGGCTTCCTCAAACTCGGCCCTCCAGATGTTTTTGGCCTACAACTCCATGATCCCTAGCTAGCAGGACCAGTGGTCAGGGATGGTGGGAATTGTAGTCTCAAAACATCTGGAGGGCCGAGTTTGAGGAAGCCTGAATTAATACAATTATTAAAAACAAAAACAATATACTGAATTAGTTAAAGCAGCCTCCTCACGTGCCTTTGAAGGCTTCCTCTTTGGCTTTTTATTTTATTTTCTGCATTCCAAAATCTTGAAGAAGAAAGCTTTAAGGGACTCTTATTTGGCCTATGGAAATGCTGGCCTAAATTATCTACCTCCAACTTATTTAAAAGTTTCATAGCCCTACTGGCTATGAAAAAAAGGCAGTTTGAACAAAACTCCTGGTCCCTGTTACTGAATGCTTCGCTAAACAATGACATTCGTTAAACTCTTCTGGCATTATCTGTATTCTATCAAAGGTTTTAGCCAAATAACCAGAAAAAGGAGTGTTTAGAGAGCCATTCAGGTGTCATCTTGTTTTGCCAATGATGGCTGATAACACCACTTTTCTTTTCTTTTCTTTTTTGAGTAATGCCATAAAATTATATATCAATGGAAAGATAATTTAATGAAGAATGCAATGCAATAACTTTAATGAAGGATTATTTATTACAACATAAATAAGGAGGACATTTGCCAGTGTGTGATGTGATTGCTATCAAGTTGGTTGGGTTTTTTGTTTTGCTTTTTGTTCTTTCATTTAGTGAGCTTGTAAAGCGTAATAAAATTAAAGAAATGGCGCAAAGAGTTGACTGGTCAACCAGAAAGGGATGTAAAATAGTACTATTAAGTGAACAAGGCTACAGTTATGAAGAAATTAGAAGATAATTTTATGGTATTACGGCTAAAAAAAAAGTTGTGTTATGAGCCATCAAACCTCGAAAATACACTTTCTCCAAAAGGTTTCCACAATTTTGGCCACTAGTGTAGTAGGTCTGAGAGGTCAGCACACATAAGAAGCCACAGCTTCCAGATTCTTTTTGGGATGTCATTGCTGTCGAAGTGGTATGACAGTGCTTTCAATGTGTGCTGAGGTTGTTACCAGAGTCCAATGTGTGCTTATAAAAGCCCTTCCTCCACCTGCACCCATCACTATGATTGTTTTGCTAGCTGTGAATCGAAAGGAGCCGAGATGTTGTTGACATGCAATATTAATAATATTTTATTATGAACAAAGACAAGAAGGAGCACATGCTACAAAGGCACATTTGCAAAACAAACTGCATTCCTGTAGACAAACTGTTTTTCCCATGAAACCTCTGACAGCAAAATTAAAGGCTGTTAGCAAATGGCAGATCCCAGATAACAAATAAGGATCAAATATTAGGTGAACATATTACATACTTCATGCAAAATGAGCTGAGCACTGTTGACTTGTCAACATACACATAGAAGTAGACAGAAGTGCAACATCAGATAGGCATGTTGAGTGTCCTCATTTTAGGCCTTAAAATATATATATGGCTACTGTGAAAGATCAACCAATTGGTAAACAATGACATTTCTGGATCACTGGAACATATTCTTGCTTTGTTCTTATTCTATCTGAGTGTGTTAATAGCGATAGCTGCTGTAGCTGTAGGTGCTGCTTGGCAGGGCCCGAGAGGAGAAGTTGGAGAAGTCGCTAGCATACAGAGCGCTGGCACCACCTCCATAGCCACCTCGGGCACAGGGGTTGTACTGCTCAATGGCTAGAGGCTGGTCTGGGCAGTAGATGGCAGGTCCTGGGATGGTCAGGACGAAAGGTGGTGGCTGGATGGTCACTGTAGATGCAGGACACTGGGCATAGCACTGGTCGTGTCTACCACCGCTGGCCATTTTTGCAGGATTGGAGGGTGTTCTGAAACAACAGAATTGGATCTAGAATGAAAGCAATGTATTAAGCCCTTTGCAGATTTCAGTGTCCTGTGGGCTAGATGAGGAGGCTTCACTGATTGCATCCAAACCGTGAGTCAACAGTTCCCCACCCATATTACAAGAGCTAGAATAGGAGTAGAAAATGAGGTGTCCTCCAGCTGTTGCTGAAACACAACTCCCACCATCTTTGACTATTGCTTATGCCGGCTGGGGTGGATAGGAACTGGAGTCCAGCTACAACTAGATAGCCATATGGTAGAAAACACATGGTAGAAAACTGAGATAGTAGAATAGAGTCACCACTTCAGCTGGAGATACTATTAGTGCATCATGGGTAATGTTTGTAGAGCTTCTTTCTCCCTGTAGTACTAGTCTTCTTCGTATTGGGTGTTGTATAGGGGAACACTGAAAAAAATACGATCCCCGACGTGCACCCTGAAATGGTACTGTCCATTATTTGACCTTGTTGTCCTTACCTCATTCTGAAACCATAGCTCAAAACCCTCTACAGTGACTTGTGAATGAAATGGAAACAATGAAAGGCTACTTCATAGGGGAAGAACATTTGATCCCCTACTTGTGCCCTGAAACCGCCTATGTTTCAAATTCCTATGTGCCCCACTCATTCTACAGAACATCTATAGAGATGGTTTCTTCCAGATGTTTTGGACTCCCGTTCCAACTAGCCCTAGCCAGTATAGCTAATGGAGAGGAAATGTGGCAGTTGGGTCTGCAACATCTGGAGGGAATATCTGTAAGAAAACCTTTGGGAAATAGGATTTCATTTTTCAGCTCAGTGCTCTCTCGGTGCATCTCCACTAACGCTTTACTAAGAAACAAAGGAATCACAAAGACCTCATGCTTAACGTTCAGCTTCTTTGTATTTTTAACCATGCATGGATGCAAAACAAAGAAGTCCCTCTCCAATCATATGAAATGCCTCCATTCTTAAGATTCATAGTGCTCCTCTACGATGCCCTCCCATAGATAGCCCCTAGTACTCACCAGTTCTTGCAGGGACAAGCAGAGGATTGATGTGATAGATTACCTGAAGGATGAGCTTTTTATACTGTTGGCTCCATAGCCTGGAGGAGCTGAGACACACCCATAGAGAGTTTCCTAACCCGTTGTCATATGGAAGATGCCTCAACTGATTGTAGATAGTTACCCCTCCCTGTTGGTGATTACAAGTCGGCGAGTAAGGCGAGAAAAGAAGACCCTCCCAGGTAGTGACAGATTCTACTTGGGTCAACGTGGTGTGGTTGCTATATACGTTACACCCTATAGATTGTTTAAATATTATGTCTCTATAGGGATAAATCAATGAACAATGTTTCCAGTTGACACACCAATGAAACACTTGGTGTTGGGTCACCGCAACAGCATGACATTCCGGTGCATAGTGGAATGAATGAATTGCCTCTTGCTCAGTCCTTTGCAGAGGAGACCAATGAAAATAAATCAAATCAAATTATGCTAGGCATGACATGGTTATTGATTTCAGGGTGGAGCTGTGAGTTAAACCACAGAGCCTAGGACTTGCCGATTGGAAGGTCGGCGGTTTGAATCCCCGCGACGGGGTGAGCTCCCGTTACTCGGTCCCTGCTCCTGCCAACCTAGCAGTTCGAAAGCACGTCAAAGTGCAAGTAGATAAATAGGTACCGCTCTGGCGGGAAGGTAAACGGCGTTTCCATGCGCTGCTCTGGTTCACCAGAAGCGGCTTAGTCATGCTGGCCACATGACCCGGAAGCTGTATGTCGGCTCCCTCAGCCAATAAAGCGAGATGAGTGCCACAACCCCAGAGTCGGTCACGACTGGACCTTATGGTCAGGGGTCCCTTTACCTTTACCTTTACTCCTACTCTGAGGATGTTTTTGGAGACAACCATAATATCATTTATGTCTCACCTTTTTCTCCAAGGTGCTTAAAGTGGCATATATGGTTCTCTGCCTCCTCATTTAACCCCCACAACAACCCTGGGAGGTAGGTGAGGCTGAAAGGCTCAAGGAGTGTTTCATGGCTGAGTGACAATTTAAACATGGGTCTCACAGGTCCTTGTCAGACACTCTTAACCACTGTACTGCACTGATGCTCGATCTTTCTGTATTTCCAGGTTTGCTTATTAACCCCCAAATACTGCAACAACATAGTGAGTCTTCAAGGCCTGTTTGAAATTAACAAGCAAGGGGCCTCCTCTAATCACAGCTGAGATGAACCTCCATAGGTTCTCTTGCGAGGTGCCCCCACAGATAAGACCCTATTCCATGTAACTGCCTATCTGATTTAATTTACAGGTGGACATCCAAACAGTAGCTCTAAAGTAGATCTTATGGCAAACTTTTCTGAACTTGGTGCATACTTTATGTCAACTGTATAATTTTATTTTATTTGCCCCCAAGACATTGGTACATATGGAGAATGGATGAGTGGAGGTGGGGAAGTGAAATGATTTTTTGACACAGCATTAATTTTCATGGGCAGTTATGAAAAATCAAAGACAACAAATTCCTTTTCCAGTGCAGGTGAAATTATTAGCAGATCAGTGAATAGTTTTGGGTGGACTCAACACAATCATACCCTTTTGGAATCATACCCTTTTTGACAGTCACAAAAGGAAATTGAGGGCAACTGAGGGCAATGAAAATGGTGGTTATTTTTCAAGCAGTGTTGATAAATATTTGGAAAGGGAGATGCAAGCTCTGCTGAAAATGTTCACACAAAACTGTGAATAGTGTTGGCTTGGCTCTATGCAATAATGACTTTTAATAAAAAAAAGTTCAGACAAAATGTGCACAGAATATATTGTGACCTTGTTTATATTTAAACTTGGCAGGAGAAGATTAAAAAGAATGCAGAAATCTTTTTCTTCAGATAGATCGAAAGACTGCAGTCCATTAGATCATTGTTGTTATCCCACCCCCCCTCACCCCTCAAAACACCCAGATCCATCTTGAAATGAAAGCTGGGGGGGGGCTTATATTTGGAGAAATTATCCACCCCCTCCCAAAATGTAGCAGAACAAGTTCCCATGTTTATTGGCAGCTTTCCTAAGCAAGTTAGTTAAGTATCACTTTAGAAAGGATTAAGGATGCCAGATTATCTTCAGAAAGGAGGAAGATGGATTCAGGAAGATGGGTGATGCCCTAAAAGTGAATAGGAAAGAATTGGGCCAATTGGGTTAGGTCATATTTGTGTGAGGTGGGGGGTTAGAGCTTTTTCTTCAGCCCATATGCAGGGATGAAGAAAGTGTTAGGTTATAGTTCCGTTCCACCTTAAAAGGGTACAGGCATGACTGTTGTGTGTCACATGCCTGTTTACTTCCAGCACAGATCTGCTGGGAACTTCCGTTTGTATATAGCTTTTGTGTTACTGCTGTTTTGCTGGAGACGAAGGGAAGCAGACATGTTTTCCTCTGTTCCTGAACTATGCTGAATAAAATGCTGTACATTATGCTTCCACATTTCTCTGTCTGCCTATTCTGCTGTGAGAAGATTTACACACTCTGCTGATAGATCATGCACAGATCTCTAAACGTATCTGAGGCTCATGTCACTGATTGATGCTGTTTCCAAGGGAAGCTGGTGATCGTCCAGCTGCCAGCCGGTGGCTGGAGCCAGCTGCAGGCCTGCCTGATGCCCCCGTCTCCCTAGCAGTATCCCAACAGAAAGACCCTATGAACAGTTAGGACACTTCAACAGGGTACTTCAGTCAATAGCAGCAAGAACATGAGGAACTTTAGCATGGAGCTTCTGTGCGGGAAATGTCAATAGGAACTGGAGACAATGGCAGCCTTAAAAGTCCTGTCCAACCTCACACCTCTGAAGGCTGTTTTTCCTCTGAAACTCACCTTTTGCCATGCCCTCTAACATTCCTCAGGTGAAAAGAGGGATACTTTTCACTGCAATGTGCTCTATGTGGGGCTACCTTTGAAGGTGACCCAGAAACTACAACTAATCCAGAATGCAGCAGCTAGACTGGTGACTGGGAGCAGTTGTCGAGACCACATAACACCAGTCTTGAAGATCTACATTGGTTCCCAGTACATTTCCGAGCACAATTCAAAGTTTTGGTGCTGATCTTTAAAGCCCTAGAAGGCTTCGGTCCAGTATACCTGAAGGAGCGTCTCCACCCCCATCATTCTGCCTGGATACTGAGGTCCAGCACTGAGGGCCTTCTGGCAGTTCCCTCGCCGCAAGAAGCCAAGTTACAGGGAACCAGGCAGAGGGCCTTCTTGGTAGTGGCACTCACCCTGTGGAATGCCCTCCCATCAGATGTCAAAGAGAAAAGCAACTACCAGACTTTTAGGAGACATCTGAAGGCAGCCCTGTTTAGGGAAGCTTTTAATGTTTAACACACTATTGTATTTTAATATTTTGTTGGAAGCTGCCCAGAGTGGCTGGGGAAACCCAGCCAGATGGGCAGGGTATAAATAATAATAATAATAATAATAATAATAATAATAATAATAATAATAATTACTTCCTCCTTCAACTGACCCTCCTCGGCCCCCACATTTCTGCCCCCTGCACCACAGATCATTTCCTATCAGAAGAAGGGCAAGCACCATAATCGTTACACCAGTAGCACACACACCCTCCACAGTCCTGGGAAAACCCATTAATCCTGATTTCATTTCATTCTTTGGTAGATTTATAAAAAAGAAAATATACACGCTAATAAAGAAATTTTAGAAACAGACATATGTGGATGCACAAATCATTATTATTATTATTATTATTATTATTATTATTATTATTAAAAAATTAAGATTCCTTGCTCCATTCTCCCTTTCTTCCCACCCAGGGTGGCCCTGCCCTCTGCCTGCCCCTCAGAGCTGCTGCATCATGCAAGGCTGGACCTCAGTGATTGCAGACTCTCTTCCTCCTTACTTGCTCTCCAGCAGCAGCTGCGAGCTGCCCAAAGAGGAAGGCCAGCAGCGGTGGCCACGGAGAAGCCACAGGCTGC